TAAACTACCTGGAATGGTGTGGTCTTGATTGAGGAATGATACGCCATATTGTGGGAGTACTCTGCACAAGACAAATACTTGTACCAATGGGTAGGGTGATCAAAAGTGAAGCTACGAAGATATTGTTCAAGTCCTCTGTTGATGACCTCTGTTTGACCATCCGTATGTGGGTGGTAGGTACTGCTATACATCAACTTAGTTCCACTGAATCAGAATAATTCCAGCCAAAATTTACTGATGAAAATGGGATCCCGGTCACTGATTATTGTAGAAGGGATTCCGTGCAATTTGCAAATATTTTGAACAAAAATTTCTGCTACTTTATGGCAGTAAAATCGGTTGGGAGGGCTGCAAAATGGGCATATTTGGACAGTCGATCGACCACTACCATTATGGCTGTGAAGCCATGTGACAGAGGTAGTCCTACTATGAAGTCCATCGAAAGGTCTTCCCATATTCTGATTGGAATATCGAGTGGTTGCAAGGTAAATGCAGGAGCTAATGTCTCATACTTTGTTTGTTGACACACTGAACAAGTTTGGACATAATGTTTAATATCTTCCCGCATTCGAGGCCATTCAAATTGTGACTGTACCCTAGCTGTTGTACAGAGAATGCCGTTATGTCCCCTAATAGGCGTGTCATGTAGGTCCCGAATGATTCCTTTTTGTGGTTGGACTTCGAACTTAAAACAATCAGACCGTTATTCCAAATCAACCCTTCATGTATCTGATGATGGGAAAAACTTGTTCCATCTTGATTGATGGCTTGCTGTAATTGAACAAGGTTTGGCAACTGAATGGTCTCCTGCTTCAATTTTTCCAAAAGCAAACTAGTCTGATGTGTCGGTGTCAACAACGTGGGTGACCTTTCCAAATTAGCACTCTCGTTATCTTTCCTGGACAGAGCATCAGCCACGTGGTTAGTAATCCCTGGATTGTAAAGAATTCTGAAGTTAAATCCAAGTAGTTTAACTAAGAATCTTTGCTGCTCCGGTGTTTGGATCATTTGTGTCATCAATTATTTAATGCGCTTTTGATCTGTTTTAATAAGAAACTTCCTGCCCAGTAGATATTGTCTCCATTTAGCAACGGCCTCCGTAATTGCATACAACTCTCGATACATATGTAGAAGCCTGTTGCATTGTGGGATTTAGCTTTTTGCTATAATATGCTATGGGATGAGAATTTTGGATCAAGACAGCTCCAATTCCCACTCCCGAAGCATATGTTTCTATGGTAGATGACTACTCAAAGTTTGGTAATACCAGGACCGGATCTTGAGTCATGGCCGCCTTTAATAGTTGAAATGCCTGATCAGCTGCAGGTGACCATTTAAAGGCATCTTTCTGGAGCAATGAAGTAAGTAGGGCAGCTATAGTCTCGTAGTTCTTCACAAAGCGTCGGTAGTAGCCAGTCAAACCAAGGAAACTTCGAAGTTGGCGAATATTAGCTGGAGTATCCCATTGCAAAATGGACTGAATCTTGGATGCCTCCGGTTCAACCCCCCTTGCTGACACAATATGACCCAAATATTCAACTTTCTTTTGAGCAAACTGACATTTGCTCATTTTAACAAACCAACAGTGGTCTTTCAGACATCCCAACACTAGTTGCAGATGCTCAACATGATCCTTTAGTGTTTTGCTGTACACTAAGATATCATCAAAGAAGACGATTACAAATTTTTGGAGAAATGGCTTGAACAGGGTATTCATAGCCGATTGAAAAGTAGAAGGTACATTTGTAAGGCCAAAAGGCATCACCACAAATTCATAGTGACCTTCATGAGTTCTAAAAGCCGTCTTGTAGATGTCTTTAGGATCCATTCGTATCTGATGGTAACCAGTACGAAGGTCTATCTTGGAGAACACAGTGGCTACAAAAAGTTCATCCAATAATTTATCAACTGTGGGAATAGGAAACGTGTCCAGTATGGTGATCTGATTGAGAGATCTATAGTCCACACAAAACCTCCATGCTCTGCCTTTCTTTTTAACCAACAACACAGGGGAAGAGTACGGGCCTTTACTTGGTCTGACCACTCCCGATGTTAACATTTCTGAGACGAGTTTCTCTATTTCAATTTTTTGGAAATAGGGATACCTGTAAGGCCGTATAATAACTAGATTTGCTCCTGATACAATGTGAATTTGGTGATCATGGTCCCGTTGAGGGGGTAGCTCTCTAGGTGGTTCGAAGATGATATGATTTCTGGATATAACTTGATGAATTTCATCAGCTAATTCAGACATCTCTCCTTCAGTTTGGCATGTCGCGGTTAGTTGATAACAAGAAGCTATGGCATCAATTGCAATCAGTCTCTTTAATTGATTAAATTGAATTATTGTAGGTGTAATTAGGGGATCACCCTGAAGCTCTATGTGTTGTCCTTCCCAGTGAAAAGACATGATCAATGCTTTGAATCTCGAATGGGAGATGCAGGTAATGCCCAGTGCAAGCCATGGACTCTCCATTCCGTACCAACACTGAGAAGTGTTTAGTGGGAAGGATTGTGACCCTCAAGTGTTGGATCAACCTCTCTTGAACAAAGTTGTGAGTGGACCCTCCATCAATCAAAACTTCATGCCCTTTGATTTTTCCCTTAAATAGCAGAGTGTGAGGAAAATGTTGCCCCGCCATATCTGGAAGCTGATTGCAGGAGGTATTTCATCATTCGTCACTTCCTTTTCCTGTGAACCTTCCAATTGCAGGAACTGATTTTCTTCCAATTCCTCTGTATCCTCTAGCATCAACACAAAGAGTTTGTCATTACATCTATGTCCTTTTTCGAATTTTTCATCACAGTTAAAACACAACCCCTTTTCCCTTCGTTCCATCATCTCTGATGCTTTAGTTTCTTAATAGGAATACTAGAGCTCTTGACATTAATCAAAGCATTATTTCGAGTCATCTTGGGGGTTGGTAACAGGGGTGGTACTGGGGAAGGCTTAATATTGGGAACTGGATTGGTCGACTAGGACAATTTCTTATGCCAGTGTCATGAAGTTTGTCTTCCATAAGCTTAGCCAGATTCACAGCTTGTATAAGAGAAAGTGGTTGCAGGGCACGTACCTCTCGACGGATATCATTGTGCAATCCTAATTCAAAGTAGCTCTGGAGGAATGACTCAGAGACTCCAGTTGTTTGGTTGGCTAAGGCTTCAAATCTAGACCCACGCTGGTTGTTTGAGTTAGCTTGGCAAGCTCACATTGGATGTCCTTATACTCCGAGGGACCAAATCGAACCAAGAGCGCCTTGAAAAACTCCTGCCAAGATTGAAGCAGCTTATTACGGTGCATCCATTGATACCAATGCAGGGCATCCCCATCCATATGAAACGAGGATATTGCTAAGTGTTGATGGTATGGAGTTTCATGGTAATCAAAAAATTGTTCTGCTTTAAAAATCTATCCATGAGGATCCTCCCCATTGAATCGAGGAACATCGAGTTTCAAAGTTCGCAGGGGTTTCGTGGCGTTGATTCCTCCTACGAAAGCATTTTCTGGTCTAGCTCCTTGAGAGGAAGACGATCCTGACACCTCAACAACAGGATTTCTCGAACTCTGCTCTAGACGACCTTCAACAGAGGTCAATTTCATACTAATTTCCTTCAAAATGTTCCTAAAGGAGTTAAACTGTTCATCATGGATAGTAAGACGGTTCAGGTAATCCTCCAATGCTTGGGTGACATACGCCCTAGTCTGGTCTGCCATCAATGACTCTCAACGAAAGCACCAAATGATACAAAAGATTTACACAATTCGAGGTTGTGCAGCTCCTGAGCATAAAAGAGAAGAAGAGAATTAGAGAATTTAGATTTGCTGCCTCATTCTTAAATCCTTGCACATGTATATAGCGTGAAGTAGGTTGTGCCCTCTTGCCTCACAGTAGGACAGCTGTCCAATTGGTTAAAACAGAATAACAAATAGAATGGAAATGCTAGTACTGATATTCCTTTGAGTAGTGCTTGGTGTACAGGTAGGGGTTCACAGAACCCCTACCGAACACACACAAACACGGATGGGGTGGATAGGGTTGGGGTAATTTTTTAATGAGGCGGGTCCCGCATAGGACCCGCCTCATGTGAGAGGCTCGGCTCTGCCAGGCCTTTTACAGGCCTGGCAGAGGAGCCTTATTCTATTCCTTTAGCCACATGGGTGGCTTACGTGTCCTCTTGGCTAACATGGGTTCCTCTTCAGTTGTCGGTGTGGCCAGGGTTCCCGTATTAGAAGGACTTCGCGAATGACCAAGTCGAGGAATTCTACCGCACCCCGTACAACTATTGTTGTTGATCCTTCAGAGTCTACCCAAAGGCTTAGACCGAATTCTATCCATAAGTTCGAGTAACTCAAAGCCTGTCTGGCACAGCTTCAATTTTGGGTGAAAATTGATTCTTTGACCGTTGAGGGCTCCAACGGTTGTATTATCACAGAAGTGGCCAAAAGATTTGTGAGACAAAGTCAAAGAAAACGGCTCCAAAATCAATTCTGAAATGTTGAAAATCGTTGCCAGACAGGCACTCAATCTNAACTCATCGATGCTTAGGATAAGATGAGCACCGGTGCTCATTAGATCATTTCTGTATATATATAGTTTAATACTTTGGTAAGTATATAATTTAGATAATATGTAGTTTTACTATTTCCCCAAAGTTTCAGAACTTCATTATTTTTCAAATTCTCAAAATATATCTTGAGGCCTTTTTAAAGAGTTTCGATTTTCAAACCAAACCCAGTATGAAAACATCAACCTTTCAATATAATAAACTGGATTGAACAAACAAATACAGTATGAGTCATGAAAGCTTCTCCTGATACTCATCATGAATTGTAAATCAAACTCAGATAAATGAATAAAACCCAATCTTTCTAAAAACTGATGAATTCTCTTATAAGAAAAGTACATAAATGGCGCTTAAACTCGGGCTAATTCTTCTTCACTTCCTCGGCCAGTCGATTCTCCAGTAATCAAGAATGGGATCGCATTTTATTTCAGCTATTATAGACCACAAACAATACCAGCAGCTGCATCAGCATCAGCACCTGCAGTTTATATAAGATTCATATCACAGATTCCCATTGTTAAGCATTGCACATGCAATCAGGAGCAGGATACGTATATATAGACTGTTCTAATTTGCGTAATCGGATCTGCCCTAGTCTGTTCTTGTGACCTTCAACCACAGACTCTTGGAACTCTAGCCAAGTTAGGCTTTTATTCAGGAAAAGCTGCCCCAACAATGCCATGTTAGGCCTTATAGTCTTCAGGTTTTGGTATGTCCGATGTCCCACCTGTAGATCCAAAAAGGAGTTGTAAACAAAATCATCAATTTTAGTGGTGTGAGGTGAATGCAAGAACCATTTGCATGGGACAAATTAACATACATAGAAATTCACAGCATTATGCCCCAAGCCTCAGTGAATCTAATCCCTTCTCACCAAGAAGAGTAAAATAGAGAATGAAAATCGAAAAATACGCTAAGCAAGAACTGCATCCATTTGCCACTGAAGGTTTTCACTGTAATGGAGAAGTAAAATTTTTCTCATGCCTCTCAGACCTTAAAAACCGCTTCCCCCTAAATCCTTATATGGTAGGAACAGTCTATATGCGGTTAAGGGGATAACTGGATAATTAGGCCCCACATAGTCCAGCAACTTCACATACAGCATTCAATTTGGCAGGACACGTTATTTTATTGGTGATTAGCTTTTACTGCTTATCATAGCATTGTGCACACTTCTGGGAGAGGCAGATATGAAAATTTTGCTATGCATGCAGTATGCTGTTGAACATGTTCGGTAAGATACAGCAATATATTAGTGATATATAATAGCATTAAGTGCTTACCATAGCATTGTGCATATTTCCAGGAGAGGCAGAAATGAAGATATCGCTGTGCATGCCAACATAGTAATCAACTGCGGCTAATAAGGAAGCCTTTCCTTTAATGCTGGCTCTTTCTTCGGAAGAAGAAAGACTCTTTTTATTTTCCATCAATGGAAACAAACTTCTCAAGGTCGAGATCCTGGCTTCCCCACCATACACCTGAAAAAAAATGGCAGTCAATGGGAATTTAAGAAAATGAAGCATACTATTGGCTACAAGGCATTCGAACTGGTTTTGGCAATCTCGATTCATATAAACTTTTCATTTAAACCTTATGGGAGGCGAGATACAAACGAGTAGTATTGTCAAATCCCAGAGCTGCAAGCAGCAATCCAATTTCTTCGGGAGTCAATGGGCACCGTCCCTGACTTCTCAACTCCTCGTCGGTAAATTGAGAGTTTAAGACCCTTCCTTGCCAAATGACTTGTCGATACTTAGCTAGAGCCAGTTTTTCTGCCTTACCCCCACCGAAGTCGCAGGCGGAATGGGCAGCCATATCCTGAAAAGACAGTGATATCAAGAAAGAAAATAAGTATACATCTCTAGAGAGACAAATGGTGAACTGATGAACGATATAGGTTAAGCTCTAATCCTTTACTTTAGAGAGCAATAATAATAGTGGTTCACCCTAAATGAGAGAATAACATAGGTTTTCACTATAATAAAGATGAACATACAAGTTTTTTTCTCACAATTCTCTTGCACAGAAATGGCCCCCTCTAAAGATCCTTTACATATACTAGGAATTTAGGTTG